AGTATTGTGCAAAAGTAGCCACAGTTTTTTGATTAGTATCAAAATATGTCATTGCTTTGTCCTGCTGTCAGAGATACAGCTCAGCTATAAATGTTAAAAAGTCCCATTACATTGGTAAAAATTCATCTCCCCATCCTCATGGGGAGCGGTGAGCTGCAGATGTGGCTGCGCTCGGGAACTATTTGGTGGCTTAAGCCCCCAATCCAAACCCTTTAAACTGTGTTCCCAAGCAGGGAGACACTGGGTCCCATTTTTTGTCTTTGGTATGACCTGACCGAGATTTGAACCCCGATCTTCCAGTCCCAGGGTGGACACTCTTACCACTAGGTCACTGAGAAGGTGAGTGTCATCAGAAGGTAATGTGCTGTGTTTATTCTGGTGGTTTGAAATGTTTATTAACCCTCTCAGGCTCAAAATAAGTTTTGATAAAAGTACGAACAGCTAAGTCCTTCAGGGGTACTTCTGAGTTAAAAAATGCTCATGAAATATGTATGTGGAGTAACCAGGTAGGTAGGTTTTAACGTTGCAAATCTGCAACGCCTGCCACCAGAGGGTTAAACTATTTTTGTGAGAAAAGCTTCAAGCATATGTCCCCTTCTTCTAGGCATTTGCTGAAAATTCTTCTATCACTGGAGAAATATCATAAATCTCAAGCAGCTTCTATCTGCAACTGCAGACGTTTTTCATTTTTATTCCCAGGAAGTTGTTTAATCTGAAAAGCTCCTTTTAGTTCAGAAGATTTTTTTTACTCCCTTAATCTGTCAAGCATGAGGGGCTTTCGCTGCCTTTGTACCTTCACTTTAAAAAAAAGAAAGAAAAAAATATATATATAACAAATATTCCGTATCATTTTAGTTTATCTTCATAACTGAAATGTTATCTTAAGAGGGACTTTTATCAGAGCAAAACCTCTTCAGCTCATCTGCTGACCTCTGGACTAAAGACAGAATGGTTTCGTATCACGAGGATTCATATTTAAAGGTGAATGATAGTTTTATTCAACAGTTTCATTAAATATTATTAAACATTAATGCTTTTATAACGATTGGTTTTGATTCAGGGCATCTCTGAGTCTGCATCTGACCTTCCTCAGAACATGTTTTGTAGTCATGAAACAAAAACACACAGCTGCTGTATTCACTGTGGAGCAAGGACAGTCATTTATTTGCATGTCTTGAAGATAAACATAGCACATTGTAGGCTTTCAACCAGGGCTGTTGTTTTTCCATTGAGGACAGCCTCTCCATACATAAATATGGGTCAAAATACACCAGGGACAGTGCAGCACTGTGTTTGTAACCAGCTGCAAAATGTTTGTTTGGTTTGCAATTAACAGTTGGTATGATTTACAAATGTCTTCATTTGAGAAAACTTTCAAGAAACAGTCATTTTGAGCTTACTTGTTCAAACTTAATTTGCAACATGTTAAACAAAAGGATTTTATTTGTTGTTTGGACACTATTTCAGTTCATTTAGTCTTTTGGAGAATTTGCCTTAACATGGTAAAGCTAATAAATGCATTTAAATTACACAGCAGGTTACAAAATGTTATTTTAACCTAAACTATTACATTGGTGATTTATTTGTAAGTTTTGCTTTCCCCAAATTAATGATGCTCAGTTGTTAAGAAACTTGATTTTTATTTATTTTTCCTCGTAAATCACTTGTTTTTTATTCTTGAAATGCTCACTTTATTTTTTGAGTTTATTTTTTGGGTTTTGTTTTGGCCTAAACTTTATTTTTAAACTACCTTTCCGTGCCTCTTTTTTTCTTCACTCTTTCAACTGAGAGCACTTGATGATTGACTTTTTGGACCCTTCAGTCTGATTGCAGTTCTTAAGTGAAGTGGCCCTGGAGGACAACAGGCTTCTGGCTGCTACACGTTTGCCCTTTTCCACTGATTTTAAACGTCTGTTCTTCCCCGTGCATTTACTTCAGCACAGCTGGCTTTTGTTTTATTTATTTATTTATTTTTTATCATTTTTTACATTTTGGCATGAGTCATTCAAAGTTGCATCTACTCTATGACACAAATCTGTATGACTTAACAGCTGTTTTTAAAGCCTGAAAGTGTATCGCCTTTAAAAAGAAAAGTTTAAAGGAAGTTTTGATCCGTTTTTAATGTATTTCCATTAATTGTGTGTTTTTGTTGAATGTATCTTCTGTAAGTCACTTTATTTCTACTTAAATGTGATTGATTTAGATAACAAGAGGTTTCTTACCATCTTATTTTCTTGCATATTACATTAGATATTAAGCTGTATGTGACATTGATGAAATGGGACACTGATGCAGAAGAATGATCTGCATGTGAGAGTGAAAAGCTTTAGGATACTTTACATGCTTCTGTGCTTAAAGCTGATGTATATCAACCTCGAGTCTGAGCTCGACACTAGCAACACAGAGCTAAAAAAAGAGACAATTATTTATAGTAGGTTCCTTGACAGGACCAGTCCTACTTATCTTTCAGGGTGCAGTCCACAGGTCTTCTGCTTCACGTTTTTACCAGCTTTAGAGCCCCGATAAATCCACTGTTTCATCACTGCAACCAGACTCTAGTGTCTTTAAATGTCAATGATGGTGTTTGTGAAGACCAATAATCAATCAGGCAGAGATGCATCAAAAGATAACTGGAAGAAAGCAGAAAATAGGATGAGATTAATTTATATCTTCAATCCCTTCCTGTACAGAAAGCTGTGATTAATATTCTACAACGTACACTCCTTCAGTGTTTGCTTTTCAACGCACTCAGTCTAGTTCCCTATTGATTTGACTCATCCTATACATTAACGTTGCTCAAGAGGATTCTATAGCACAGTAATTTGACTTTGCATTGCCAAAATTAATGTACATTAATTGCACTGACCTTCAGCTGTAGCTCAGTTAAGATGAGAAAGTGAAATGAGCTTGGAGAGTAATGATTTTCCCCCCTTTCCTTCGTCATCACTTTAACAGTAAATTCTGTGGGCAGTAAGCTGTAATTAGTGCGGAGGAGGAGGCTAAAGGTTGTACAGCATTGATTTCTTGTTTGCTTAGTGAAAATGTCAAAGAAAAACAGAAACCACAAAGCATGATTCCTGATTCACAATAGGACCAATAACATGTATGACTGCTGTGGTACAATTAAATATCTTTTAAAAACAAATAAGCATTCTGATTATTGCAGAAAATAATATGTTTTGTTGGGTGAAAATATTTGTGGTGCAGAATGTAAATACTAATGTTATGGTAACCTTACGCCGGCACATTTAGAAAACAATACGCCTTTGAATTGGATCCAAAAATGTCAACGTAAGACATGAGTGATGGTGTATACCATTTTAAAGGGTAATTGGACTTGGCTTAGCAGGACCTGAAGCTGCATTATTGGCAGTGCAGGTTGGATAACACGGTGCCCAAAAATTAAACAGAACAAGCTTAGATTAAACAACAGGATTATTTGATAGCATCTAAACATGCTTTGTCAGTTGACCCAAGGCAGCTGTTGCTACAATGTAGTTCATCACCATCAGAGTGTGTGAGAATGAATGAGTGAGTTACTGTGGCATAAAGTGTTTTGGACATCTGACCCCTTTTCTACCAGACGTGTGAGTGGCATGTAGCATAATACGGACATTTTGCCCACGAGCTCCCTTCCAACTGGGGGTGTTTCATATGCGAAACAGGAACAAAGTGCTCCATGTAGTCCTGCGACATCATAGAATTGCAACAAGAATTGTTGGTGGTCCCTTGTTTCAGATGCAAATCGAGGAGAGATCGTGCATTCGCGGTCCTTGCTCCAACTTTGTGGAGCGGTCTAACTTTGACTGTTATGCTGGTGGCTTCCTTCCAGATATTTAAGTCGCGTCCGAAAACCCATTATTATGTCTCGGCATTTTCACCACTGGGGTCTGCAATATTGTCTTGAGTTCAATTGTTTAATTGTTGTTGTTTTTCTTCTTTTTTTTCTTTTGCTCTTTGTTTTGTGCTTTTATATGTTTGATCATTTATTGTATTTATTAATGTGATTGCTTTTTGTTGTTTTGTTGAGCATCTTGGGCTTCTGTTTAAGGTTGTGGATGGTGCTCTATAAATGAATACATTAAATTGATAAAAACACCACGTGTGATTTTGGAAGTTCACATGATAACAAGCAAAGAGAAAGATGGCTGCATAAATCCAAATAGGTCTAGTTTATTGTCTGTTCTGTTTACTTTGGTAGTTGTGTTTTATTTTGAAAGTTTCTGTATATTTTACTCTACTTTTGTTTTGTGTCTGAACTGCATACTTTTTAGTGTTCTGGCGTGGCAAAAATAAACTCGAAACGTAAGCAACATGTCCTTATGGTTTTAGGACCCGTCCAAAACATGACACCTTGAAACCCAGCGGAAAGGAGTCTGTCCACTGAAATGGTGACAGTGCCACAAAGTACGTTTCGTGACGTTTTCATGTGTGGTTGAAAGGAGGGGCGACTCTGACAGGGCATTAATGATGATCATTTACTTAGCACAAATCAATGTGGTCCAGTTGGATGACATTTCTATCAGTAACAGGCCCATGGTTGCTTCTGACTTTTAAGTACCTGCTTCAATGTGGTTCCAAGTGTACCGGGTCGGGACAAAAACACATCAGCAAACATTGTTTTCTGCCTGCCCTCTCATTGCCCAAAGGCATTTCTGGGTTCAGAGTCTGACAGTGATTGAGCAGGTTGTTCAACACCATCACCATCTCCACCTTCGCTGTGCTGTGTATTTTTGTGTGGCATACAGATCATCTCCCGGCGGGTTAGGTTTATTATCACCTTGTTGTTGTGGAATTATTATTGTCTTTTATTGTGTATTATAATACTAGCCTGCATTGGCTCTTTTTATCTGATAATATGTTCTGATCACTTCTTGGGAAGTTATCAGTTTACTTTTGTTGATTCAAAAGCAGTTTTTGTCTCCTACCAAACCGCATTAGAGATGACATGGTGACGGTGCCAATCAGGTGTTAATGTGCCGTTTGTTTGTGTCACACAGGCAGGTTGTAACCATGCGCTGTCTGGCTGCACGTGTGAACTACAAGACCCTCATTGTTATCTGCGCCCTCTTCACACTTATCACCGTGCTGCTGTGGAACCGCTGCACCAGTGACACCTCCATCCGCCTCCTGCCACGGGCCCCCTTTGTGGCCCCAAGTCCTAAGATTGGGGACGCTAGTATCAGCAGCCAGCAGCAACCTCCTCAACCTCCAGAGCCCCCGCCTGTAGTCGGAGTCGTCGGTGGGATCAAGTATGAAGAAGTCGACTGTCTGATCAACGATGAATCCACTATTAAAGGCAGGAGAGAAGGAGGGGAGGTCTTCCTGCCCTTCAGCTGGATGGAAAAGTACTTTGAGGTTTATGGCAAAATAGTGCAGTATGACGGATATGATCGCTTTGAGTTCCAACACAGTTACTCAAAGGTTTATGCCCAGCGTGAGCCCTACCATCCTGATGGAGTCTTCATGTCCTTTGAGGGGTACAATGTGGAGGTCCGTGACCGTGTCAAGTGTATCAGTGGAGTGGAAGGTAAGATGATTGGAATAATAAAATGTCACAAAGTTTGGGATTTAAAGATATATAGAACTTTAAGTCACAGTGTGGTTGATAGTAAAGGTTTACCAGAGCCACTATGTGCTACTTTAAAACTAGAACGCTGACAAATAAACGTTTTGCTCTTAATAATGTAGACTATTAGGTACGTCTTCAGGAACCAAAGAGAAAAAATTAACTTTTAGGTGATTTCATTCTCATGGAAATACAAACAAAAAGTTACATTAAGTAAAAAAAAAAAAATCCCTTTTTGTTCTGTTTCACCTTGAATTTCCTAAAAATCAATTGCTAACTAGAATCTCCAATGCTTTTTAGCACTTTTTGTGTGTAAAGCCCCTTCCCACCCCCAATCCAGGAGGTCCAAGGTGCTGTACATAATGCAGAGACACATGGAAACACTGTAAAAGCTTACATTATGATAAAATAAAAGCATAAAACATTAAAATAATTAAAAGCAATAAGATCAAAGGAGCAATCCAAAACACATTTTTGTCCTCATTTTTCTATTAATCATTATTACTTGTTGTAATACAAAATTGTAATATATTTATCAGACAAATGCGCATCATTCTGCTTGTTTACATTTAACTTGTATTTGATCTTTTCTTCAACTCAAGGAAAATCCGAACTAAACATTTTCATGCTCATATTTTGTATACACAATTACATAGACTAAGAAAATACCTGTACTTATATGACTTGACCTGTTACTGACAATGGCTAATGTAATTAGCCCAAACATTAGCAAACAAGGTAAAGAACAACTTTTAATTTTTTTTTCACAGTGTTGTGTTTTTTTATGTTAAACTGATTTGTTTATGTTTAATGGAGCAGCTTTTGGAGAAATTTGTAATTTCTGCCTCATGGAAAAGGAGGCATTGTTAGACCCAGATTTCTAAAGCACCCAGTCTATTTCTGGCTTACATTTCCTAATGCATTTTACATTTTTTATAGCCACTAACACCACCAACAGTCTTAGGTGAACTCTATAAAAATGTGTGTTTCTTTTAGGTAGACTTAGTCCGTTTTTTAATACCAACGCAAACACCCGTGTGTGATTTAGATAAATTCATTGTTTCATCATAATTGTTTTTTGTTTTTTCAATGCTCATTTTAAATTACTTGCCAAAAAGAATCAATAGCTCATTTTAAAAGGCTGTTAGTTGGAACCACATGGTCATCAATATATTTCCATTCCCTGCTTGCCTGACGAAGAGACTTGGTACACATAGCTAAAACTGCAAAATAGATATTCATGACCCTGTTTATTGTTAATGGAAAAACCGCCATCATGTGAAAAGCCATAGTAACGCTGTATAAATGTATTCTACCTTTTGAATAACTTCCAAAGTTGCATCACACATTTAACAGTATTGGTGAAAATGTCAGAAGCAAATTGTGTGCAGTTATTTAGCTGCAGTTCTCTTGTTTTGACAGGAAACTGTAATAAATAGTGTTTTTCTGAGACAAAGTGTCAGGTGCAGAGATTTGCTTTATGATTAGTGATACCCTGTTTCAGCAGAAGGAAGTCAACAGCAGTGAGTGGGTAATTTTTGGTGAGATGCATTTTGCAATTTCCTGCAATATCTTTTTTGTATTGTGTGCACGCACGCACACGCGTGCGTGCGTGCGCACGCGCTCACACACACTTTAAATCATTTTTCATTTCTAGGGTTTAACTCATTAAGCATGTCAAAAGAAAAGTCCCAGTACATCCAGGGAGAAATCTTGGGCATGGTGAAAGTAACCAAGTCATGTGACAAAGGAAGGAAAACACTAAGGTCCTTCCCAGATGAACTGCATTTAACACTTCTTGTAACTCCGAAATGACCACACTGGCTCGGCTTCCTGACGACAGGCGCTTCTCTTGTTTATTAAACGCCGTGAAAACTACACACAGAAAAACAGTAGCTTCAAAACTGCATTCTTTGAAGATAAATATATGCTTTAGCAAGAAAAAGAAATACCTCGTGGCCGCGTGCCACTTCGGAGGTCCAAATTCAGTACAATCAGTCTTCCTGTTTCTAATCAACACACAAAATAAGTACAATACTACACATAGCAAATATTTACAATATTACACACAAACACAACAAGTTACCTGAGTAATTGGCAGCGCAGGTGCTGCAGATGGCTCAGACAAAGCGGTTTCCCTGTTTCTCGAGTAATTGGCAGCGCAGGTGCTGCGGATGGCTCAGACAAAGCGGTTCTCGTGCTTCCTCATACACATACAAGTCACATCTCACATCTCACATCACTTCTCGCGGTAACTCGGTGAGGAAGATACCACTTGTTCCAAAATAAAAGACACAGATTTACGATACAAACAAATATTATATATTCTAACTTCTGGAACCAAATTTGAGTAATTTTATGACACTTACACTCCCACCAAATCACCCCTTACTCTCTTAAGGTGATTTTCTAAGTAGTGTCATTGTTAGAGTCTGTTTTAGTATACTCGTCAGTCTCAAGTAAGGTCACGACTTTGTGAATAGGTCTTTCTAGATAGATTATCCTTGTCAGTGGTTTTCCTTTGTCAAAAGTAGTTTCACTAGTCTTTAGTTTCACCTTTCGAACCTTGTCATCTGGGCTCTTCAGAGCTTCTACTACTAGGGCAAGCTTCCATTTACATCTTGGAGCGTTGTCATCCTGTAGTATCACAATGTCATTCATTTGTAGGTTTCGTGTAACTTTATGCCACTTCTGCCGCTGTTGAAGATTTAATAGATATTCTTTCCTCCATCTCTGCCAAAATTCATTTGCCAGATATTGTACTCTTCTCCATCTTTTCTTCAAGTACAAATCCTCTCTGCAAAATGTTCCTGGAGGGGGGAGAATAACTGAAGACTTCATTGTTAATATGTGATTGGGAGTTAACGGCTCCGGACCTGAGGGATCATTGAGATGTTCCACACTTAAGGGTCGGCTGTTAATGATGGCCATTGTTTCATAAAAGAGTGTTCTTAGACTAGTTGTATCAAGCCTGCTGGAGGACTTGTCTAACATTGCTGTTAGTATACTCCGTACTGTGCGAATTTGACGCTCCCAGATGCCTCCCATGTGACTGGCTGATGGGACATTCATCACAAATTCGCATCCAATGGCTCTTTGGGGTTCTTGGTCCATATGTTTCATGAGTTTCAGAAACTCATTTTTGGCGCCAACAAAATTTGTGCCTTGGTCACATCTTATTTGGCGGACAGGACCTCTTATGGCTATTAGAACCCGAAGAGCATTCATAAAAGCATCAGTTGATAGATCCTCGAGTGTTTCGATGTGCACAGCTCGTGAACATAAGCATGTGAACAATAATCCATATCTTTTGACTTCCTTCCTTCCTTCCTTTACTATGAACGGACCGAAACAATCAACACCGCAGTACGTAAAAGGAGGAGCTGTTTGTGTTCTTACTTCTGGCAAATCTGCCATCTGTTGAACGTTTGTTGCCTTTCGGTATCTTCTACACTTAACACAATGGTAAATGTGTGAAGAGACTAAACTTCCAGATCCTAAGATCCAGATCCCATTTGCACGCAGTTCATTGATAGTCATGCCTCTTCCTTGATGATGTACACGTTCATGATAGTGTTTGACGAGTAGAGCTGACAAATGGGACTCCTTTGGAAGAATTGCAGGGTGTTTTACATCAGGATGCAAGGACGATTCGGATAATCTACCCCCTACCCTGAGAACTTCTGATTTATCAAGAAAAGCGTTCAACTGCTTTAGTTTACTTTGCTTGTGCAAAGAATTTCCATGTTGAGATTTGATTTTCTTTATTTCCTCAGAAAAAACATCGTTTTGCACTAGCTTGATCATGAATAGCTCAGTGTCTTTTCTCTCTTCAAGATCAGTCTCTTTATTTGTCTTTTGTTGAATACCTCTGTACTCTTTGATGAATCGTTTTAGTCTGGCTATAGCTCTTACAGCTTTCATCCAACTGGAGAACTTCTTTAGACGCTCTAGCAGTGGGTTTGCTTCCTTTGAACACACTGAATGTGTATGACCTCTACGGAGTTCTGGATCTGTTTCCTCAACTTCTCCCACCATTTCCTCTTTGACTGGAAGATCTTGTCTCCAAAGGAAATCGGGGCCCTTTAACCAGCTTGATTCTTTCAGCTGAGCAGCACTCAAACCTCGTGAGGCTTGATCAGCAGGATTTTCTTCTGAGCTTACATGGCGCCATTTTTCTGAACTTGTACTTTGTCTTATTCGCTGGATTCGATTAGCAACGAATGTATGAAATCTTTTCGCGTCATTGCTTATATAAGCCAATACGACTTGTGAATCTGTCCAGTAATATTCCTGTAGATTTTCAATTTCCAGTTCTCGCTTGATTACATCCGCGTTGCGAACTGCAGTCACAGCCGATGCCAGTTCAAGCCTGGGGATGGTCATTTGTTTAATGGGCGTGACTCTTGCCTTACCCATAACAAATGAGCAACTGATCTGTCCATCTTTGCTTATTGCTCTAAGGTATGAACATGCACCATAACCTTCAAGACTGGCGTCTGAGAAGTTATGTAGCTCATACTGCACAACGTTGGTGAGTTGTGAGTACGTCCTTGGGATCTTCAGAGCTGCTAGCTTGGGTAGGTCTCTCAGCCATGCTTCCCATAACGGTAAAATGTGTTCTGGGAGATCATCGTCCCATTTAACCTTGTCTTTACACAAAGTTTGGAGTATCTGCTTTCCAGTCAATATGAATGGGGCGACAAACCCAAGAGGGTCATAGACTGATGCGACAGTCGAGAGCACCCCTCTCCTGGTCAATGGGTTAACTTTAACTTGGACTCGGAACTGGAATTCGTCTGTCTCCACACACCACTGTACTCCAAGTGCACGTTCAATGTGGAGTTCTCCAAGAGCCATGTTCTGATCTTTGGCTTGAGCTTGTTCTTCTCTGGGAATCGCAGCAAGCACATCTTTATTGTTTGATACAAACTTGTGTAGATGTAGGTTGCCTGTTTTGC